CAAGGCTTTAGACTCAAAGCAGACATTCCACACGCTAAGCTTAAGCATCTTTAGACACTCATTTTATTCTAGTTAAGCAGATATGAAAAGATACTCATTGCCTCCCAGTTGCACAGTCAATCAAAGGATGTATTAGGCTTTGTTCTTTCAACAGAGCCCATTACTAATAAATAGCAGTTTCACATACGTGTAAAAAAACCCTTCTAGTATTTTGTATTTTACAGTCACTTTCCTCTCTTATTTACAAGCTTCCTMTTCTACTGCTGTGTAAAAAACCCACACAAATAACATAAGTATTTTGGTCTATCTTTCTGCTGTATGCTCAAAAATAAAGTAAGTTTCTTCTTACTTGCTATAGTAATCTGGGGATTAGCTGTAGTAGCAGATTCCCATATAAATTATCCCTTTAACTTAGGAAAAAAAAAAAAAAAAAACAGAAACATACAAACACACATACATTTCAATACTGCAGTAAGGATTATTTGAGGAGATATCTTCAAATAAGATACATAAGTACTAATCTGAAATTATTTGCTGGCCAGTATTTCAAACTGAAAAAAAAAAGGCAGAAAGCAACAACTTGAACAACTTGCTTTACTTTTCATAAAATGAAATAGATGACCTCTTCTGTCTCTGTTGTGACCATAATTACTTGTATTCATTTCAGTGCAAATATACAAGTGTAAAAACCACGCTAAACACAGCTGTAAACACAGGCATAGAGATCCTAGTCCCACATAAAGAGCTTGCTGAGCCCAAACTGTCAGAACTCTGATCACAAACCTATCTGCATGATACAAAGTCTACATTCCTCTTTCCTCCTTCATTGCCTCCTCTTCTAAAGGCAAAACTTATCCTGTATAAATGCTTTAGGCAAGGAAAGGGTGGGAGGGTTAACTAAGGATACACCATACAACTCTTATGAGCAAATCTGTAATAACAAACTTGTAGAATATATATGATGAAAGCTTGGCAAAAGGAATCTTGGGAGAAAAAGAAAACTATAACCCTTGTGTTATAGACTAAAAAAGTAATAATAAAAAAACTCTGTTCTAAATTGTTCAGGCTGTGGATCATCTGTGCAGCAGATGCAGAAACATCTCGGGTCTGGCAGGATTACTAGTAGGAACCATCACTAGGAGAACACAACGTGCCTGACCTRGCTTTGGAGGTAGCCAGTGTAGCTGCTTCCTACAGCTTCTGAAGCCCAGGATCCTAATTCTGGGGCACTGTATGATCTAACCTGATCCTGCAGAGATGGTCTTTCTATCCCAACACTTACAGACTTATAAACATGTGCAAGTGCAGCAATTCTAGACTCAGCTGAAATGCAGATGAGCACTAGCTCCAGTCCTATGTGGGTAGCTCCACAGGATGTCACAGCCCTTCAACACATTCCCCAGGACTAAAGTGCAGGTGGTTTGTTTAGGCCAACTGTAGTGACGCACAAACACAGACACTTCAGAGCCAACACTGCACTCAATTCTGTAAGACTTCCCATCAAAAAGACACAAACACAGACATGTCGAGTGCAGAAACCACCATCTTCACCAAGCTGGAGCATTTATTATTAGCCAAGTACAAACTGAATTCTTCCAGAGCCAATCTTATACTCATAACATGCATATTCCAGTGAATCCAGATTAACAGTTTATTATTTCAGTTGCAGAGCTACAAGCAGGCTGACCTCACAGTGGTAAACTGAGCTGTGCTTGAGCTAATAAAACATTCTGGAATTCATAACATTGAAGTTCATTTCAGAAATCTGCTCTGTGGATTAATAAGGACCAGTACCCACGTGTAGGTAATATGCCAGACACAAGCTAACTGGTTGTGCACACGCTGCATGGCTCTGTACTGCCTGGTATCACACAAATTACTCCAGGTCTTCTTCATCTTCATCATAAGCACAAGGGAAGAATAGACAGCAATAAAATGCAAAACATGGTGTCACTTTGCTCCTCACTAAATGTTGTGATTAAATCACTGTTATTACAAATTATCCAGAAAGAGGTATGACACATAACAAGCTGATGGCAAAAAAAAAGTTTTTTTTAAACAACAGTAGCACTGCCACCATTCCCAAACTTTGGTTCCTAGAGCATTCCAGACATGGTAGTAAATATCTGCATAGCATATATACACCTTCCAACTTCCCAAGGTAGCATGGCAGCCCTTACTACTCCATATACGCACATTCTCACAGAAATTTCCTCACACTAACCTACATGTCCTGCTTATCTTTTTGAATCTGAAATTCAAGGATATCTGCACACATCAGAAAGGTTACATGCAGGGTTGTAGCAGCCAATCTTGACACGGATAAAACTGAGAGAAGTTGCTGCCCAACCATGTTGAAGAAATTCCTATTCCACGCTCACCATACACCAGCTAAGGTAAATAAGCTGATTTGGGGGACAACGAAAGACCTTTCACACATACAAAATTATGAGTAAATAGTTACCAGACGCCTCCATCTAGTCAAACAAACTATTCGAGTTTGCAGATCTCAGTTGTTTGCAGACATAAAATCATGACTCACTAGAGCCAAGACAGAGCACAGCCTTTGAGACATGAAACCGGGCTCCCCAGCCAGCAGCAGACCATTCAGAACCCAAGATCCTGGGGACTACCTTGCTGTCCAAAGACAAACACAAACCAGCCAGGCAGCTTCCAGGGCTGACCCATCACAAGCAGACAGAAGAAGGGAGACAGAGCAGACACCAGTGTTAACAATGGAGAGCGTGTGGGAAGCCAACTGCTCCAGCCTGCTCTTAAGTCAACTTCTTCAGCGCCCAACTCCAGGAGTTACACGTTCCTGAGAGCCAACTGCTTTCAGTCATTAAGGCATGAATAATTTAAGCATGAACAATTAACTGTGGTCTCAGAATCGGTTTATTTGCCCAGTAAGCAATAACTGCAGCTTTATGTGTGTGTGTGTGTGTGTGTGTACACACACGAGGAGCATCAGCAGGGAAAAACATGACAAGAGTGAAAAACTCTCATATCTCTCATTTTAGAGATGAAACTTAAGAGGCATATTAAAGACAAGTCAATTTAATTCTGATTCTCTTCCTAGACAGAAATGCTATCAGAAGAACTAAGCCTCGGTCTCCTGTAGCCACGAACAGGAAATTTACTTTTGCAATGAAATAGGATACAAATTCGGTGTGCAATAAGCTTGTACAACAGCGTTCCAGTTCTCTGTACCAAAGTCAGAGATTCAGTCCAGTTTCAAAATGCTGAGGGCTTTCCCAAGACATCCCACAGGCAGCCACCATATCTGCAACACACTTACATACAGGTAGTTGTTAAAACTTGTGCTGTTGTCAACCTGTTCTACCACACGTGCCCTTACAACAATTTGAGAACCACTTAAACCTATGCTACACTACAAATGGGGAAGATTCTATATCTAGATCACTAATAGTCTTGAAGTGCACCACAAACAGGTGGAAATGGCAGAAATGAGAACAAAATATCCTGGACAGAAAAATCACATTTGTCAGTATTCCTTGCTAACAACTTCAAACAGACAAGAAACACACAACAACATCAAAGCTGTTCTCTTTGATAAACTCAAGAAATTATCACATGCAGTGAGACACCTTATACTTTAGACTCCATATTCATTCCATGTGTCAATAGAAGTCAGTCAATTGTATCCTAAAGTCTGATGAGAACTCCCTACCACACTCAAAAACCACCAACAACAACACTCTTTCCACTCGCCTCTCACTTTCCTATCTTACACATCATTCAAATTTTTATATAAAAAAAACTTCGGTATCATCAAAAAAAGTTACTATTAAAGCTTGCTCTTCCCAAGAAACAGTCTGAACTAGCAAAAAGAAACAGTCCTCTTTTCCAATAGTAGTATTTTTGTGTTTCTGTTGACAAACATTTGGAGAGTACATTACTTTTAATTTATTCTTGCTCACGCCAATAGAAATGCTTTAGAAAGTCTATGAAAGACTAAGTCACTAAGGCATTACAAAAATACTAACGGCAACTCCAAAAAGGGTAGAGAAATTAAATTCTTCAGTCATGTGTCAAAAATTCATACCCAAGCTTATACTGCAGTATAAAAATCCTGTCATTTTATAGTACTTAAGCAAATCTTTAGTTACTGTCAATGACTGGCAGAGTGTTTACATGAGCTGTTTTTCCTTCTTTAATGTAAAGATTTGCTAAAAGGCTCTTTATTTGTTTTTAGTTAGAAGTAGTTTACATTGCCATAGAATACTGTACACTCTTCCTTTTAATATGATAGAATCATTTTCAGAGGTAAATGAACAGGCAGTCTTTCTAAATATTCACCATTATCTTTTGCTGTGGAGTTAATAAAAAATGCCAACTAAGGATAAGTGATTCTCTTTTTCTACTGAAAGTGACTGCTATTATGCAGCTTGATCTAACAAACCTGACAAGAAAGAACAGTCAAGCTGCATGTAATTGAGAGGAAAAAAAAAAAGGGGGGGGTTGTTCAGAAGGGTTGTTCAGAACATCCCCAATAATTCATCACAAAAAAAAAAGTTTAAAAAGTGGAGAAAAAAAACATTTCTTTGAACAGAATCATCATATGACAAGTCAGTTCTAATTCGAGATCCCAAGTTAAAAAGAATAGAGACAATTAGTTTTTACTAAATAGAAGTTTTCAACTTGGACTCTAAAGCTACTGTAAAACAAAAGTGGAGACAGAATCTATTTCCTTCCTATGTTCATCTATACAAGTATCTAACAGACAATATTTCCCAACCCACAAGACAGGTAATAAAATACTCTTTGAAAATATGGCGTAACAAATATCAGAAATTGTCAAAATACTTCAGAGATAGTTGAGGTATTTCAATTAAAAATAACAAACATCTTTCTGATAGCACTTAAATAGAATAATGACAGAAAGCTAAGCTATTTTCTACCATTACTGAGATATTTGAGTAAGTATTATCCACACAAGCATATCACAACTTGCATTACTTAATAAGCAAAGCACATACCACTCTGGCTGCTCTTTCCTGAGATTCACACTTCCTGCAAAACCAAGGTCCAGTGGGTACTTGAACAATTCCATAGCAAGCTGTTTTGAACAAGATAAAATATTTCAGCAAATGTAAGCATCGCTACAGGATAACTAATACTAAGCTCTTTCATAACATTCATACTGTAGATCTCAAACCATTTTATCAAGGTAAGTTGACATCTATACACCATAAATCAAATTCCATCAAAACATCACCAGAAATGAAATACAACACACTTTCATTTAATTTTTTTCATTATGATTAAACTAAAAAAAAAAAATACTTATAAATACCTTGAAAAGTAAGACAGTCATTCAAAAGCAGATGTTTTATATACTGTTTTGCTATTTATTTACTGCAAAACAGCTAAAACAGCTTTACAATAACAAACAGCTGTCATTTTGCTTAAAAGCACTTTACAACAAAACTAAGAAGAACTAATAAATCTCAGTTTTCTTACTCTTTTTGAGTAAGAAACATCACTGATCTTAAACAGGGAATAAGAAACAGAACAAAGTTTAGAAGTTTTGTTTTTTCTCCTGAAAGTTCACATGAAATGACAAATACAACCTAAATTGAGCTTAAGTCATGTGTAACTAGATCAAGCCTGGAAAATACATCCTTACAAAACAGATTTTGAGATATGCAAATTTTCTCTTGCAAAACTGTCATTTATGTTTCTATAGAACACAACAATTCAGAGCTTTGAAAGGAAATTCCACCCAAAAAAAAAGATTTATAGTTCATGTTGAAATGCATAGCTCAGAATTCTAACCAAGAACTGTTGATGTAATGAAGCTACAAGAACACAAGTACTGTGAGTATATTAAAATACCTCTATAGCTTCATGACTAATACCTACAATGAAGATGAAAAAAAAACCCCTCAAAAATATACCTTGACTCTGACGATGTATTTTTAAACTCAATTTTATCAATTATTATATTTTGTTTAAATAGAATTTTTGATTTAACTGTGTAACTAACTCAAAAATAGGTAAGAGGTATCTGATAAATTAAGAGATAAGAGGAAAAGCAGAGATAGAATCAGTATCCACTAGTACCTGGTTTATGTTAGCCTGAAGGCGGGAAGGGGAGGGCGAGGGTGGGAAAGGGAAGAAGGCTGCAGGAACAGTATTGTGGATTCTAAAACATCTGGCTAATACACCTTTCCTTCCATAAAGGAAATTCAACTAAATTATTTCCTATAATATGCATAAATATAGTCATTCTAAGATCAGTTGTCAGGTTTCAAACATACTACCCAAGTTCTGACGGACCAAACTATCTTGATAACTCTTTTTTTACTATAAAGTTCTTTTAGCATTACAGAAAACATCTTGTTTTAGTTGCATTTATATTAAGTACAGATGGGGGTGTCTTTGAATTCCTTTTTAGAGATTAAATGGGGACTCTGAATACGCAATTGCACATTTAAATTAGCAAGAGACAGTGTAGAGTAAGAAACTAATTATAAAATTCAACTCCAGAGACAAAGCTTGCAATTAGATCCAAAAGCAACACAAGCTGGGCAAAGACCAAAGCTGAAGTGAAGCTTTTATATCTGCAAACCTAACAGAGTACAACTGGGGAAAAGAAAGAAAGAAAAAAAAATCCGGTGTTTACAGCAAGAAGGGAGAGAACTCTG